CGGCCAGTTGATTCCCTTGCCCTAAGTCGAGCGCATCGCTCGTCTATCGTGCTGCATGGTAGTACTAGTGTCGCCACCGTGGCGACCGTTTTTGTAGTCTGTACGAATTCTTTGTGAATACCATCCTTGGCCACTACCCAGTGTCGTATATTGTTCGTGCAGCAGCAGTCGGCGAATACAAATTGTAGCACAAAAGCACCGTATTAGGTAGCAGATTAGCAACGCCAGGAAGCCGTGGTACGCTTGCGCCGTAGATGAGGAGGCTACACAGAGCTAAAAGACGTAGATACCTCGATCGTTGACTCGAGAGACGTGTGAAACAAACGAGCAAGCCATGGAAAAATGCATATACTATGAAGCCATTTCCTGCGTCATGGCGCTCGTCCTGATGATCGCTGCCGTCACGGCCTGCTCAGGTCGCTATCATTTTCGTGTGGCTCGGGGATTAGGATGACATGTGTCTTGCCGCCGTCAGTAGAGCGTGTCGACGTTGGCCGCGAGCTGCCGGCCACGAAGGACGATATGGCGATGAAAAGGAGTGCAGCGCACCGGTTCGACCGGCGCGAGCAGCCGCACGCAGGCTCGACGTTGAGACACGATTCGAGCGTCGACGGGATGTACCGTAGAGTGTGGCGGTAGCGACCGGAGCGTGGACGCGCCGTCGGATCGGATGTGGCCATAGCCATAACCGTTCTGGACGCGCAAGCGCATGACGTCGCGGCGGTCATGATGCTAGGCATACCGCGCCATCGCTCGTAGCGTCGTCGCAGGTCCTGGGAGCTTCTTGGGAGCTTGGAGGAGCGCATCTCGGAGGCGATCCCGTGGCCGACGTGCGAGAGAGGCCGTCGGAAAATTGGCCAGGGCTCCGCCCAAGGGCCGACTCGGTGGCTCGTCACGCATAGATAGGCTGCGCCATACCTACAGCGACGTCGCGTGAGCGCTTAGGTCTGAGGCCTGCGCACGGCTTGCCACGTACCACGTGCCTGGGCTGGCGGCGATGATCCGTTAGGCAAGAACACTGGCGATTGGCTCGAGAGCAAATTCCTTGCCGCTCTGATTGGCCCAAATCAAACTGCTTGACGCTCTGATTGGCTAGTACTATTCGCCCTCGCGGTGACGAAAATGAGGGAGACCGACGAGGAACGCTGCATTGCGACCGAGCGACACCTCATAATGGCGTGTACGTAGAGAATGCTGATGGAGTCTCCTCGAGCACAATGCAGCAGCGTCAGTGGCGCCCGAGGAGCCTCGGCGTCGTCTTTCTGGCGTCGGCAGTGTTTATTATTGGCGTCCGCCATTTACAACCATAATTACCATATTTTGGCGAACACAGGCCCGCTGCGCCGGCGGATCGACCAGAATCAAGTTTGGAAATGACATCGCCCATACTTGCCAGAGTGCTAGACCACACTTTGGGGAGTCCAAAATGCTATGTGACGTCGCCGCGCGAGCTCTGTAGCGAGAGCAAATGACAGCGGCAAACAATTTTTGATATAGTGTGCTGTTTCGCTATACTGAAATACTGTACGGAATACAAGGCCTCATCACGCAGCGATATCGCGCGCATTTAGCCTCCCTCGGCCACATGCAACACGCTCCTTAACATGAACCAAAAGAGACGGCGTCCTCAGTTTCCGCGATTTCGACGCATTTCCAACCGAAATTGCACGTCGAATTTCCTGAAAACCGACGCTCGGCAGTTCGAGTTTGGTGTGAGTGCCCAAGCAACGACGGCGACCAACAAGCTGGTCGCACACCGGGTCGAGACCCATCGCCAACTGTGGCAGCCAGTTTTACGGTCCTGGGAGCTTTGGAACCCCGCGATGTCACGTGAAGTATTTGGGCAATTCTGCCACCACCTCGAAAAATGGAAAATGCATTTGCGCGTCATTACGCTATATGCAGAGTCGGAAACGACATGTACGTCATTCAAAAAGTGTGGGGAGAGGTATACCCGACTGCTACGCGGCGCTGGCGTGTCTGTGGGCTGCTACTCGTCGTTGTGCTGCATGGTGCTGACACTATTTGAGACGAGGTCGGCCAAGTCTTGTGATTGGCTAGAAAATCAAGGCTGGACCTTCATTCCTTTTTATCTATCTGGGTCAATCCAATCGACGGAGCTATGTAACGGAGCCAATCAGCGTCCAAAATGCATTTGATTAGTCAAAATACTAGTCCCGTCGACCATAAATCGTTTTTTGGCTCAAAAATGGCACCTTCAATACAAACATCAAGTCTAATTCTTCCAAGGAGCACTTCCTGGAAGCCCAGACCGGAGCACGGACGCCTGTTGTCTTCGAGTGAACGCCATTGACAGGCACGCTGCTTTCCCAGCGTTCTCGCTGCTTCCTTCCCTCTTTTTTTTCTTTCTTCCTTTCGTCCGTGAGCTAAATATCGTAACGCTCGAGAAATGGACGCGCGCGAACATGGAGAATGTCCGGCGCGACGAGCGCGCTGTCTTCCACGAGAAGCACAAGCGGAACCTCAATGGCCGCTTGGGAGCTCAAGAAGATCAAGCCGACGCACTAATGTATGTACTAGTAGCCGCCTTGCGCATGGCTTTCATGGACGACGCCAACCCAGCCAATGAGTTGCCAACGAATCAACATACCAGATGGAGCGTACAATAACCTGGAAGCATGCACCGCGACAAGACAGCATCCACATGTGCGTGCGTGCGCTTTGTCCCAAGTCACAACTGCACGCAATGTCGCTCGTCTCTGCACTTGGCCTCTGACGCGGATTGCTCTAAAAGAGCAGACCGACGCGTGCCACGAGCCGACCAAGCCGCAGCAGTGTTCCAGACGTATGCGTTGGATGGACGAGGCACGAGCCAATTGCGCACAGGGTGAGGCGCGCCATCGTCGAGAGAAAATAAGGGGCTCGGCCGTGCGACGACCGCCTAATCCAGGAAATGATCAAAAAGTGGAGTGGGTAGTCTGTGAGAGCGGCTCTTCTTCCCACTACCACGTCCATCTTGGAGCCGGCGCTCGGTCGAGAGCGGGACAATGAGCGGCCACACGTCTTGCCGTCGTGGACGGTCGCGGCGAGAAACAAGACGATCTCGCCGTGCTTCAAGGTGAGCTGGCTCGAGACTTGGCCGCTTTCGAGGGCCGAACACGGCATCGACACGCGGAACTAGCTCAGGCTGCACGAACGCACCTCAACGCCGTCGACGTGCTGCGCCGCGGCGCCACGAGACCCGAGAGGAGCAATCCAAGTCCATGACGACGATGACGAGGAGGAGACGCCGTCCATAATGTCTACACACAGCCATGAGACTCCCGCTCCTGTGCGTAGAGTAAAGTACGTACGCGAGGCAGAGGTTGGCGCTGGTTTGGCACGACAAGCTCTAGCGGCGGCCGCCCGTGTTGACCTGGCTGCCTCGGTAGCTACGCTCTCATATGACCCGTGCCTAACGCTCGCCGCATGCGCTCAACGAGCATGGTTGAGGGCGTCGTCGAGCGTGCGATCCGCGGCTACAAGCAGGGTAAGAACGTGGTCGATCGAGACGGTACAAGCCGCGGCGCGAACGATCGGGCGCAGCGGAGGCGGGCCTTGCGTCGCTAGCTCGGCGCTCAAAGCATCGACCGCAGAGAGCAAGAAATCTCAAGCAGAACGACCCAGATGAGCATGCTACGCCTCACGAGCGACTGCCGCCCACGAGCCTTTTCGGCATTTGCCGAAGATACACCTCCACCAAAGCATATATCGCCAGTCGGTGTGATATCAAGTCTCCGAGGTTTTTGGTCCTCCATGTGCGCCGAGGTGTGCAACACGTTTTATGCGGCGCTGTGCTTGCACCTGGAGTACTACGTCTACACTAATACCTGCAGTGCTCGTATGTGTTTAATTGGGTCGTGGACGATGCTTTGAAGAAATCGGGCTGCTTCATGCCCCTTCTCGAGAAAGCCAGCAAGATCCTCAAGACGGCTATCATTCCGCCGTCCCATTCCCGATCAAGCTCGTAACGGCTGACCTAATAGTAGCTTGCAGGCGTCCGCAAACCAGCGACATTGACGCTTCACTTCTTTCGCAACGCGCGAAGGACCATGGCCTCGCATGTGCTGGGGTCACCCGACCTTGTCGCTGCCATAATCACGTACCAAGATGGTCTGCCCAAAGCTTTAATGGATGTCCAGCGCCTCGCGGACGCCGTCGAGCTCACGCCTTGCGTGTCATTGTCCTTTGTTGACGCTACAGGATACCTTGCCAACGTTCCGGCGCGGTTCGCGTCCTTGCCATACCTCCAGAGGTACCCGCACCCGAGCACGAAGCTGCCGCACCACGCACTCTTTGTGTCGCCGCTCGTGTACGACCGGGCGCTCGGTCTCCATTTCCTTGTCGCCGAAGGCAACGCCGCGCTTGTCATGCGCTGGCTGCGATCGGATCCCTCGCTGTGTACGTCGGCAACACTGGAGCTTGCCGCGGCCGCGTCCCAGGGTCCGCTTTTGCGTCTCCTGTATGCGCAGTTTCCGACGCTTGCCACGCCCAAGATGATGGACCTTGTGGCCATGTCGGGCGACCTCCCGCTCCTCACTTGGCTGCACGAAGCGGGCGCAACGTGCACGTCGTCTGCGATGGACGGCGCGGCCATGAACGGTCACTACGAGGTCGTACTGTTTTTGCACGCGCACCGCACCGAGGGCGGCTCGCTCGCCGCGGCGACCGCGGCTGTTGTGCATGGCCATGCGCACATCGTGCGGTATCTCCTCACAGCGCGCACTGAAGGGATCGATCCGTTGCTCGAGTTTGAGGCGCCGCATCGCAACCACTTGACGTTTCGCGTCGAGGGTTCAATGCACGTCGAGGCCATTGATATTGCCGCAGAGAGAGGTGCTCCGTTGACGATGGCGGCGTTCGTCACCATTGTGGACAAGGTGGGTCTTGTGGCACTGGAGCATTTTCAGGCGCGCGGGCTCGTACTGCACACGCCGCATGCGTTGCTGCAACTGGCCGTCGCCAAGCAAGACCATGCGATGCTTCGTTATGTCCTTGATCGTGTTTCGCAAGAGCACGCGCGAGATGCGAGCGACAACGACGAGTGGCTGCCGCCAGACGCACCCCGCGACACCCGCCCCGCCGGAGTCGGCGCCCCGACGACCGTCCTCGTTGGGGCGGCCGGTGGGACGACTCGAACGTGATGGAGCTCGCGGCGTTCAATGGCGACGTGCTGTCGCTTGAGCTCTTGCACGAGAGCCGGCTCCGCGTCGGGTCGGAGCGCGCGATCGTCTACGCGGCGCACCGCGGGCACATGCACGTGCTTCATTGGCTGCACGCGCACCGCCGGGATGGCTGCGGCAAAGACGCCATGGCCCTTGCCGCTGTTGCCGGGCATCTGGACGTTGTGGGCTGGCTCCACGAGGTCTACGGTCGATGCCGGACGCATGGCGCACTAGCAACGGCCGCATACATTGGTCATACCGCCATGGTGAGGTACCTACTGGATGTTCCCACGGGCGACGTTGATGACTCGACCGGGTCGGTCGACGAGCCTTCTCGGACCAGAGCGGCGCTACCACGGATTGATGGCCGCGGGAACGCGTCCGTGGGCTATGTCACGGGGCCAGCGGCGCACTGGGCCGCCAGTCAAGGCCACCTCGAGATCCTCGAGCTCCTTGTCGCTCGCGGCCACATTGTGCCGCCCCATGCGATCGACGACGCCGTGGCCAACGGTCACGTGCATGTGGTGCGCTACCTCCACGAACGGTTCGGCTCCACCTGCAAGCACCGCCCGATCTTGGATGCTGTTTTACACCTCCGCGTCGACACGGTCACGTATGTGCTCTTGAGCCGTTGCTGGTCACCCGACGCCTTTGCGTCCGCCCATAAGGATGACGCCGACGGCATTCACTTGCACATGTTGCTCGCTGTGACGGCTCGAAGCGGTCGCGTCGACCTCTTGCAGCTCGTGTATGATGCATTCGCCGACGATTTGCGCACGCCTCTGCCGACGCGCGTGTCGGAGCGTATGATGATCCGCGCGGCGTCGCACGGACATCTGGACATGCTTCGGCATCTGCACCATGTCCACGGCTTTGGATGGACGTCGGTCGTCGAGGAGGCTGCGCTGCGCCATGGCCGCAAGAAGGTTGGGCCGTATTTGCGATCGCTTGGGCCCGCGGTCGCGACCGTGTACGACGTCAACGCATCTCATTTGTGGCACCAAGACATGGACGCCAGGATGACCATGGTCTTGATCGACGGCCATTGGCGTATCAAGCCCATGTAGTCGCATGGGTTAGACGCACCATGGACGTTTTAAAGAAAAATGGAGCAATACGACACTGCCGTCTAGCCTCGTAGAGATGAATCGATACGTGAACGACAAAATGGGCCCTTTCAGCAACGGGAGCGTTCGAGCGTTTTGCCAAGGGAATTCAATCCTATTTCCTTGGTTTTGTATATTCGAGTCGACTGTTTCGAGCGCATTCGGCCCACTGCGATCTACTAGTAGGTGCAACGAATGCATGAGCGGTTCAAGAGCGTCAAGCGATGCAGCCGGGGCGCACTACAAGTGCAGGCGCTGGAGCTAGGCGCTGAAATTCTGATACCGTATTACGGAGCTTTGCGTTTGCATTCAAAGATTCCGTGCTGTGGCCTCCTATTGGCTACTTTCTTTGTTTATTATGTATGACAAGTGATAGATTCCTAGAAGTTGAAAAGACTCTACGAGATAAATTCGGGTATCGAATATATGAAGGCTATGCATATAAAGAGGTGTTTGCTTGGTTTCGGGTGGCGTCTGATCGTCCAATCGCACGTGGCCGCTTGACCATCGGACACGACCGAGTCTGATTTGCGTATGATTACACACAAGGATTTGCTCGCTGCAGTCGTCCAACATGTGCAAGACACGCCGTGAGTACCCGCAGCGGCTGTGCATTCGATTCTCGCGCTGCTGCAAGGAAGGCCCGATGCCACCCAACCGTACATAGCACGGTGCGAATTGGCGAGAATGCTTCGCAGCTTACAGTCATGCATGCATAACCACAGCTCGACAACACGGTCCACAGTACGAGGCGTGGACGAGGCTACGCTCAGATGCGATGCGAATGCAATCTGAATATGCAGACGAGCCACGGCGCTTCAACTGATCATCGGCGAACGGAGGTTGGACGGCACAGCCACGGTAGCCAGCAAGCGGCTTGTCGACACTACTGCCAAAGTCGTAGCGACACCGCCGCCCACCTCACAGATTAGACACATGGGGTCGAAATCAGATTTTGGTGTTGGATGTCGGTCATGGATGTCGGTGCCGTTTCCGTGCCCCGGCTGTGCGGGTTGGTGTTCGTTCACGGCATGCTGTGTCTTTGGATTTGAAGCATGGCGCTGCAAGCAGCTCGATGTCTCAAGGTAGCAAGACTGCTATGCACCCTACTTCTCTGGACAAGCCTGGTTGATGCGGTCCACCTTGGCACCCACGATGCATTAAGCCAGTTGGTCGTTGTCATCTGTTGGTGCTCAACATGTGGCCAAGAGCAACTCAGATTTCGCGGACGGCGTCGTCGACGGCAACAACGCCAACCTCACTTTACAATTTCCCTTGTCCATCACTACTAGTCATGAAGGTCATTGTCGCCGTTGCTGCCCTTGTGGCCGTTGCCCAAGCCAAGATCGCGAGCTCGGTCCTCCGCGAACTCGAAACCACGGGCTCGTCCTCGGTCATGGTGACCTTTAAGAAGGACGCGACCGAGTCGCTCGAGAACTACGAGCTCATTGCCAACCCGGCCGAGCGCCGTGAAAAGTTCGTCGAGGCCGCGACGATCGAAGCGACCAAGCGCGCGTCGGCGCTCGCCGATGCCATCGGTGCCGGTGCCGAAGTCAAGAGCTTCTGGATCGCACCCGTCGTCTCGATCAAGAACGCCAACAAGGCCACGCTCGACAAGGTCGCGTCGCTCAACAACGTGGTCAAGGTCGAGTCCATCCACAACATCAAGCTCACGTCGGTCATCAAGGGCAAGGAGGACTCGCCCGCCGACAACAGCCGCCCGACTGGCATCCAGTGGGGTGTCGACACGGTCGGTGCGCCCGCGATCTGGAAGTACACCAAGGGCAAGGGTGTCGTCATCGGCTCCATTGACACGGGTGTCCGCCACACGCACGAAGCCATCAAGTCCAAGTGGCGCTCGGCCGTGGTTGGTACGACCCGTACAACCAGACCGCGCTCCCCGAAGATCTCGGTGGCCACGGCACCCACACCATCGGCACCATGGTCGGCGACTACGGCATCGGTGTTGCCCCCGAGGCGCAGTTCATTGCTTGCCGCGGCTTGTACATTGACAGCGGTGACGACGAGGCGCTTCTCAAGTGCGCCGAGTTCATGGTGTGCCCGACCAAGCCGGACGGCTCGGACCCGGACTGCACCAAGGGCGCGGACCTCGTCAACAACTCGTGGGGCGGTGACGCCAACTCGAGCCCGTGGTTCGCCGACGTCATTGACGCGTGGCACATGGCCGGCGTGACGCCGATCTTTGCCAACGGCAACGAAGGCCCCGCCTGCGCGACGGCCGGTAACCCGGCCAGCTACCGCAACGTCATCTCGGTCGGCGCCGTTGGCTCGTACGACGACTCGCCGAACGACCTCGCCTTCTTCTCGTCCAAGGGCCCGGCCCAGTACCAGGATGCCACTGGCAAGAAGCACACGATCGTCAAGCCCGATATTTCGGCGCCGGGCTTCTTCACGTACTCGGCCATCAGCGATAGCGATAGCCTCTACGACTACTACGCCGGCACGTCGATGGCGGCGCCGCACGTCGCTGGTGTCGTTGCCCTGATCAAGTCGGTGCAGCAGGGTCTTACGTACAACCAGATCTACCGGTACCTGACGACGACGACGGTCAAGGATGTCTTGACGGCCGAGCCCGAGAAGTGGGTCCTTCGCGACAAGAACAAGACGACCTTCGCCGGCGCGCCCAACTGCGGTGGCGTCTCGGACAAGGCGTGGCCCAACAACCGTTATGGTTACGGTCGCGTCAACGTCACCAACATCCTCGCCGGTGGCAAGCTCCCCAACCCCAGCGCGTGCTAAAACGCTCGCGTTGTGCTACCCATGTCTCGTTTTATAGTCTGACATACAATATAACTGTGCGTGTATGAACACCTTGTAAATTTGCATTTGTCACGTTTAGCGCTCTTGTGCCCACCCTCCGCGTTTACATCAGCGACTAGACTTCCGCAAGTCCACGCATTCGTTCGCCAAGAAGGTCGCCATACTCCTGTATTTCCTCGCCAGCGAGGGCGGGTACCGCAAGACACGAGGTGCTCCCGGTGTGTCCAAGTCGTGGTGTATCTACGCCGTATTTCACCCACCAACAATTAGTAGGTGAGGGGCAATTAGTAGGTGGTGGGTGAAATACCACATGCGCATTGGTCTAAAATCGCTCTAACACTGCCTTTGGGCAACCGCATAGGCTGATTTTTGGTCAAATGCAACACCCGCATTGATCTAAAAGAAATAATTCAGTAACACGAAGTTCGAAGCTGTCAGATTGCGATCTTCGCGCAAGCGTTTTGGCGCTTCTGCACACTGGCGCTTGGCGACATGGAGCGCGAGTGAGCTTGCTTTATTGCCGCTCAGAGGAAGCCGCGACCCATCAGGGTATGAAGGACAGTATATTGTCGTTCTTCAGTGGTCGGTGCCTAGATCGATTCCACGGGTTGATGCCAGCCACACGCATCAACCCGAGCTACGATCTCGCGTTAAATACACATAAGAAGCAGTACATGATGCTCGAGAAAGTCGTCATGATCTATAAGCTACTGTAGGGCTGTGGTATGTAGAGACTCTACGAGCCGCCATATCGGGTCGTACACAAGACATTACTATCGAGAAAAGGTTAGCAGCATCATTGCGCAAGCACACATTGCTGGGTTGATGTTCTCCGCGAGTAAACGCTCGAGTTCAATGCCCAGCTTTCTGGATTCGGCGCCAACGATTCTAATAGGCCAAAAAACAGCGTGAGCGGGCCCGAACTGACCAGTGTTGCGTTCGTTACCGTGTGGTGCTTGGCGCCGTCGCGATCCGCTCCCGGCTCTACTTTCTGGCCGACGACGCCCAAGTCTGTCCCGTCTGCGGCGACCTCGAGACGTACGACCATCTTCTGCTTCGTTGCGAATTTGTCACTGCGGTGTGGGCGGTCTTTTCAGCCGCTCGTCGAACGCCCTCGAGCTCGAACTTCCCACGACGCT